GATCCAGTCTTTCGCATTGCCAGGGCCCTCGAAGGTAGAAACCAAAGGCCTTCCATCACTGTGCTTGAAGTACTCGGCTTTCGATGTGTACTTCTTCAGATAGCTGATGACGGTCTCCTTCGGCCAAGGACCTCTCCCTGCGTAGTCGAAAGAGAATAGAAGCTTGAATCCTTCGTCTTTGGCGACATTGAAAGCGCGCTCAAGAGAAACCTCGTTCATGGGCTCTCCATGGGCCATATTGAGGGCGAAGGCGTCAATATGAGCTTCTTTGGCGAGTCTAATGTCCGTACGCCAGGTACTTTCTGTGTAATCGGCCGTGTTTCCCACCTGGCAGAGTGTAAGTAGATGCCCATCGGCCAGGGAATAGCATTTCATTCTGTGAACTGACCATGAAATGTGCGAAAACTGCAGCGCTCTGGACGCGGACTGCGCCAGCAACGGCTAAAAGAAGGGCGTTGAGTTTCATAACCTCAATTTACAGTGCAAAATGCCGAAAGTCTAAAAGAATGAATCTAGAAGCAAAACTTGCTGGAGAATTGCATCAGGTACGTGAAAGCCTTACTAGCATTTATATAGCAGTTTTGCTCCATATCGACGGCCAGGCTTCCCTCACCCTCTCCTATCTCTGAATGAAAAAATCTCTGAGAAAGGGGCCCAGTCGTGTCAGAGACGAACACAATTCAGAATGCTCATCTTCCGTGGGGCGTAGTGGCTCGGACGAGGGCCACCAGGCTTCGACTCAACGAAGCTGAGGCACAGCACGATTAATTTCTCGCAACACCAGCAGCTGACCCATAATGCAGTGCATCTTAGAGGCACAGTGTCGTTCTTGAGAATGTGGTAAGAAAATATTTCAAGGCCCTGTCATGGAAATATGATATCCAGAGCCATAAGGACTTTGGTTAAACTCCGGTAGCCTGCCGAGGAACGTTAGCTTAGATCGAGATATTGAACAGCTCTCAACTTGCAAATTACACTGACTGCATAACTCCAAAAGTTGATTCGCTTTTGGAGACCTGTATTGATGTAAAGTGGTGAGCTTTCTCGGCTCTCGCTGGGCATCTCATTGTCAGCCGACATCCGTTTGACCTTCTATCCGAACAGGCAGGGATCACAAGCACCGTCAATCACAGTGTAATCAATACCAAGGCTGATTTATGCTATAGCGGGCCGTCATAAGCGAAGAGGAGGCGTTTTCCTAATGCGGTATGTCTTGGCCGGATGCCGCCTGTCGATATGCCGTTGGAACGTTGGACCCTAAATGCGGAGGACTCCGAGGGCTTGGCTCTTGCCTGTTTGGTGAATCCCATGAGGCAAATTTCTCGCGAGCGAATAGAGGACCAGATATGCTTGAGAATTTAGGCGGCAATGCAACATCTCAGTTGAATATTCTGGGCTAGACTCATCTTGAGCAGAGGACCATCTATCGACGCCGTCTTACCGCATGAGCCCTTGCAGTAGGAAGCTCTAAGTGAAGAAAAGCTATCGGCCGGAAATACAGAGATCATTTACGTGACAGGCTTTCACTTTGGGGGCCGATAACTGCACACAAGGATTGCAATGACTCAGTATTGTGGAGGGGCAGGGCAGGCGATTTGGTTGTCTGTTGGTTGCAAATTAACATCGTGGAATGTCAAACGCAAATTTTCGCTAGGCTCGGGACCACACAACCACAGGGGCATTTTTGCACCTATCAAAACATGTCCAATAGCGGAAGAAGGCTGAGGCGTCTTGCGCAATATCCCCTATCAGCAAATTCAACCAGACCGTTGGGCAAAAAGTCCGCGGCGGTTGTCTTGGGAAAGTCGGTCTGGGGAGTCCGGGACTTGATTCAAAGTTGAGAACCATTCCTACAATGTTCAGGGTGATTGCACACTTAGTGAATGAATTTTCATATCATGATACATCAATCTTATTTCCAAGTCCTTCACTTCTTATGAGTGGATGTCTCTCTAGACAAATCCCCATTTATTGATGTCGAATTATGTTTGAGGCTGGATCTATTGCGGGATGTCCTCACCTGATGCACTTCAATTGGGTCTCCGTCAAATGTTGTTGAGACTGATAGTCTTGGGCAGAATCCTTTCAGACTGGTTGTCAAGCCATCCCAATCTTATTGTAGGGCAATTGACGGCCACCATATCTAATTCTCGTCGTCGTCGCCCTCGCCCATCATTTTAGCAAGTAAAAGCTGATCCTACCCTTCCATCCTTGTACGCATCGATGATGCTTTGGATTGTTGTATAAGTGCCCACAACGGTCATGAATGATCCTAGGACTATCGTAAAGATGTGCAGGGCACAGAGAGATAACTTGACTTTACTAGAAGATCTTTTCTCCCAGTCCATGTAGAGGCCCATGAATGCTGGGATGATCAGCTGTCATGTGGCACGATTCGTCAGTGAACAGTCACATCGAGACTCGCCCTAAAGTCTGGTAGATTGGCTTGCACTTACACAAGTAGGCATGCAGCAAATAGAACCAATGAGCCCGACTAGATAGCTAAAGAACGGGACCGCTTCAGCGATGATAAAAGCCAACGCGCTGATACCCATCGTTGAGCCACTGCAGATTGCTGATGTCAGTGTGACGAACGTCTGTCCTGCAAAAGCGATCGGAACTTACAGCCAAGTCACCCAATGAATGACGGTCTTGCTTTGTAGATGTACAGAGTTGCGAAGAATGCGTACAAGAAGCTAGTATAAGACTTGTCAGTAGTTACACTCGCTGATCGGATGAAATTATTCTCCTACGGATTTGGCTGCTAGATGAACCCAAAGAGTCGTTGTCATAATGAATCCAGGAATCGAAACACCATACGCTATCTTTTCTAATGTCCCGCCAGCGGAGCCCAGAGACGGACTCGCAACGTACTTTCCACAATACCTGTACGATTGATACGTCAGTCAAGTTCTTCATTGATTCGCAACACTGTATCCCCGAGCTATCTGATTCACTAACATGTAGACGACCGTACCAAATGCTACATAACATGAGGCTAGAAACACTTGAGACGAGAACAGAGATTTGGTGAAAGATCGTGGGCTTCTCATCTCTGCAATCACGGGCATGAAGGTTGGTGTAGATCCATAACCAGCTTCACAGCTATTAGTCTCTCATTCCAGATGTCAACTCAATGCATCAGTGGAGCACAACTTACTAAACAGGTTGACGGCAGCGACAACTCCTGGGACGAACCCAGGGACCCCTACGGCGTGTACTTCCATGTCGTATGGTCCGGTTTGTGGCGCTGCCGCAGGCCGATCGACTTGGGTCACACCAACCCTTTTATGCGGAATTTTGTCAGCGATTCTATAATGCCCCAAGTTGGTGAATATTGAGAAGAGTTGGTAAACTCACACGACAATGAAGACAGCCGTAAAAATGGAAGCAAATCCTATCCAAGCTAGGATTGACAATCTCCCCAAAGTGGGAATGCTAGACACGATTGCGGTGCATGTGGCCGCGACGAGGGTCCACGCAATGTTGCAGACGTGGCGGTTCGAAAGTGTCTTGAACCCTTCCGCCAAACCAATGAAGCCAGAACCGGATGCGAGGCTTTTTGAGTGTCAGTATTATAGAGAAACAATCGGTTGCTCATCAGAATTCCTCGTGTCTTACATCCAAGTCAGCAGGAAGAGACCACCAGCAATTTCTCGGGCAATAGGTCCGCCCATCAGCGCTGCAGCATCAGCAATGCTGTGAACTCCAGCGTATCTCATCCTAAAGACGTACATGATGTACGCATAGTCTTCCGGCACGTACGATTAGTAAGATGATGCAAGAGACGAGAGTTGGGGACAATGTTGAAATGAAGGCATACAAGTTGCCAGTGTTCCCCAACCCACGAGCAGGGCAATTCCCGGGCCGTACCCAACTGAGCTGAAGGCAGATGGAATTGTCAATACACCAGTGGCAAAGCATAGCTTCATCAAAATGATGCCAGTGCGTTTCCTGAGATGATGCATAGTGTCAGTGATCTATGCCTTCGAAAGTGAAATTCCGACTTTGATCATAACATGACCTACCAACCTAAGGCCCTGTATTCCTCCTCATGGAAGACCTCACGGTTATCATCGATGTCAATGCACTCCGTTTTGGTGTTTCGTTCGGGGAATGCATCGCCGTTCGTCGCCGGCTTCATTTTCTCGGTTGAGCCCTCCAAAAATGTACTTGTGTACGGTGGCATCGTAGGTGATATTGCGTGACTATTGCGACTGGACTAATAAAGAAGGAGGAATATCACAGCACCAGAAATCCTGAGTCGAGATAAATAATCTTTTGCGTGATCTAGCTGTTGCCAACCACGTTGTCGACTACATGGAAGGAATATTCAGAAACAAAATCTTCCAGCGAGGAAGCTCCAGCAACAGCATCTTATATCGAAGTTAGGAAACGCCAGATAATATCAGATAACTACCGAAGGGGAGCAACCTCAGAGAGTAAGGTAACATTTAAGATACAAGACTCTGTTGAGCCTGTAGGATTACTCGTTCAAGGTCCACTTCCATGCTCATGTCCGGTCGAGCGCTATCTGAATGACATACTGTCACTGCTGGGTGACAATCTCGACCGCCGTCAGCGGAGCGCGTTATCACAGGTTCCAGTATACAGACGGGGATGTCGCCGATCCTATCTGCGGGGGAATCACTTGGGTTCCCCATGGAGATAAAGCCCCCAACCCCAATCCCACTGTAGATAATGGTTGTGGGTAAGTGGGACTTCGCGAATAGCCGACGCTAGCGAATTCCCGATCATCCTGCTACGCTAATCTTGACATCAGGAGAGACTTGGGGTTGGCATCATTTGTCACGGAATCATACTGATTGATCAACTATTTGACCAGACTGCCTTCGCGTTTGAGGCTAAGGTAAGTGCGATTGGCTATGGAAGATTATCACGGCCGGGGATCATAATGTCTCTTCGTTCTAATGAATGTCTGACTTGCTCGAACGAAAGTATGATGATGGATTCAATGTCGAACGTAGATGCATACGTCTTTAGTCTTGACTGACATCCCGAAATACAAATTCCACACCGCCGATGCTAACCAGACCTCCATCTACCGACGTTTGCGCTTCGTTGTCTACCATAGTCACCACCGCGGACGCTTTCGGCATGCTGCCATCATTCTCAGATTCAAATGTGCACTTCCAAATTCCATGATGGGAATCGTAATCCTCTCGTCGCGCAGCAAATTCTGTCGCCGACGCCTTGCGGATGGCAAGATATATGACCCCAACTTTGCCAATGAAAGTCATTCCGTCTTTGCTCTGAAGTATCCAAGAAGGCGTGTCATTCGGGCCACGTTTCGTAACGTCTCTCCAGACTTCTTCGTAGTCAGTTGGAACACCGTTCTTGTGAGGACAAGGCGTGGTGCCGATTTCGAGGTCATCTCCATTGGGTAACTTCTCGAAATAGGCATCGTCAGGTACAGTCAGGTTCAAGGAGTCGATGATATGTGTCCATCGGAATGTAGCTGTAACTCAGTCATTGCGTCAAAAATTGGTCTTTGATTATTGAGCAGAAAGACATCCGCGAAGATGATGACAGTACGCACGGGGTTCGGTCTTCAAAGCGATTCTCTCTCTCGCGCGGCTCCATTGAAGAGTCTGAGTTTCCTTGATAATCCGCAAGTCTATGAAGTACCTTCCTACGTTGAGTGCAATCGTGTCGGTATCTTCATAGGCAGGCTCGGGCAACCAGCGAATGCTGATGCGCTGGACAGCTTGGGACGGCATATCGTTGGTCAATGACTTAAGGCAAGTTTAGACCAGGTTTGAGCGTAGAAAGTAGATCTCAGGATCATACAGATGATAGAACGATGGGTATCGACGTCTTAATGTGGACCGGCAGTGGAGTACTTATACCTGAGGTGGTCGCAGACTCACGTGTCGTCATCATACCTTACACAGCGAATGTGAACGATAAGTCTTTGGATACCAAGCTATGGGTCTAGAGGGCCTCCACAGCAGACAATTTGGATGCTCCGGGTCTCTGGACAGGATTAATTATTTGTCTATATAGTTGATGTTCCGTCCTTCCGCGGACGCGCTCTACGACTTAAGTGTCGAAAACATACCCCAGATGAAGTCGTATCAAATTGAGAGAATCAGTTCACCAGCACAAACGAAATCCTCACGACACATGGAAAGATTTAAGCCAGATAAAACGACATGCACCAAATGTCAATGGCATTCAGTATGAAAGTGACCCCAGGTTCATCTGAGAGACCGAGACGGATTTATCTACTAGTCTTGGTGGGGTTGAGAAGCGGCCAATCATGTGCGAACCAACTAACCCCCTCATCCCCAGGCGTTTTTGACATGAACATACACAGAGCTGTTACTGAACTCATGTGTATGGAGCAGATCCTGGGACTTACAGCGACCAAGGTACTGTATTATGCTTATTCGGTCTTGTTGTAAGTTAGTGTCGTAGACAATCGTCAAATCCTTTGATCAGTGGCGGCTGGCTGAAGATGGGTTCCGACCTGAGAAGCAAAAGGCACAGATCCACGCCAGCCTGCGCCAGATGTCATCGACTCAAGCAAAAGGTATGAATTCAGTAAAGTCTTCTTGGGTAATTTCCCCTTGACTGATAGTATCATTAGTGCGATAGAGGTACGCCAAGATGTCTAAGATGCGTTGCCGCCAGAGCTGAGTGCACCGCAATCAACCGGCAAAAGTCTGCCGAAATTCCTCGCAGGCATGTTATGTTGTCGTATGAATCTGTGAATAATGAAGTGGAAACTGATAAACTCTGTTGATAGTCTTCTTCAGCACCTCGAACATCGCTTAGCCGAGTTGCAACGACTGAAGTCCGCCTCAGTAGATGCAGATGACCATGGCTCCGTCAATGAAGTCCGTGAAGCTGACGTCGCTCACGATGTCGCCGCTCAGGTAGCCTCCATCTCAATCACGAATAACCTTTCTCTCAGTCTCTTCCAAGGCTCAGCTATATTACCACATAAGTCGAAACTCTTCTATCCCTCTGAGCGTCCACCACTTAAAATCCCAATTCGCGGAATCTACCATGAAGTCAACCCCCGAACAGCAGGCGAAGCATACGCAAGTCAGTTCTCAAGCTTCAACTCACAACACGTTCCTCTCAACGTGATGGAGCGGCTATTCAGAAACTACACCGAAGAGATCCTCCCGCGATTCCCCTGTTTCTCGGAGGCAGAGCTAGTCTACCACTTTAACCACACATGCATCAACAGCGCTAAACCGGGGCTTTCCCGTGTTCAAGATGCCCTTTCTCGATTCGTCATCTCGATGACCATGGCAATCAGTGCCCTCAACTCAAAGAACCAAGACTTTCGTAAAGTCGCGGCTCTCAGTGAGGCTCTACACGCGGACGCCATGAAGTACGTCGACGACTTGCTGCATGAATGTTCCATCTCGGCTTTACAGTGTCTGATATTGCTTATACAACTTGCGCTGTTGCTACCTCAAACTTCCAATCTATGGTATCTTACCGGAGATGCTATGCGCATGGCTGTAAGCCTTGGACTGCATCAAGAGCCAGAACCACGCATCTTTAGAGATAGAGCACACGCGGAGCAGCGCCGACGCATCTTTTGGGTTGTAAGTACACGATCAATGGAAGTCTAGGTCAGGCCTGATGCTAACACAACCCCATAAAGGTGTACCAGCTCGACAGAATCGTGTCCGTCTCTGGAGGATGTCCAGTTGCCTTGAGTGATGAGCACATTACAACCAGGCTTCCCTACGACTTCGGCGACGTATCTGACTTGGCAGAAAGGGCCGATTCAAAGCGAGTCAGCACCCCAAAAGAGCGGCAGTTCCTCCTTGACCTCCATGTCTGTATCATGAAATCCGAGATCCAGGCAACCCAATTTTTCGACCGCCCTGTTCCTAGTTATTTCGGGTCCCATGACGACTGGGTCCAGCAGATGGATGTCAGGACACGAAATCTCTCTCACGATGTCTCTGCACACGGAAATCCGCACTCATCGCTGGTGGCTAGTTGTCTCCAATGCCAAATCATGCTACACCGTCCTTGCTCCCGCAACATCGCCGTTTCCGAAACATCTCTGGTATCCGTGGTGAACGCGGCTATCGAGCTGATAGCACTGGATGCGAAGGCGGCCGAGTCTGGCGGTCTTGTCATGGTATTCGAAATCAGCAACAGGATGTTCCAAGCTGGCATGCTCTTGCTCTACGCTCTTCGGAACCATGCTACAAAGTTACAGCGTGCGTCACTCGCAGACATTGCCACCGCCTCATTGAAGAATCTCTCAGTGCTTCTCGTAAGTCTAGCTCAATACCAGAAAGACCGAAAAGAGGATTCATACCAAAGCAGTCATTGACTCGAATCATAGACCAACCTCTCAAGCAGATGGCCACCTCTATACGACACAGCAAGCTACATCAACGAACTCATCGAAACGAACCTCCGCAATCCGCTCGGCCACAACGGAAGCCACTACGACATGCAAGTCCTCGAAGAACTCGACTGTCTAGTCACCCAGCGACGAATCCACAGCATCCGCCACCGAAACATTCCCTTCCCGCCTCCAAAGAAACCCACGCCTTCTCCCTCGGAACCAGAAAACATCGCCAGAGACTTTCTGAATGACGAACAGTGGTGGACAGACTTCATAGACCAAGACTTTGTCACCAACGAAAGCTGCTTCTCACTTCCTTCTGGCGGCGGGCAGGCCGCCCCTTCGCCTTCTTCGGAACCTAACGAGACTAGGGTTGAGCGTCGACGAGATATCATAGATAACAACGCCAGCGACTTGGAAAAGGAGCTAGACGTCATTCTTGACGCGATTCCCTCTTGCAGCTTTTGTAGGGATAGGCGGACAAAGTGCCAGCGCCAACTCCCTGCTTGCAAGGAATGCGCGAGGACCTCGCGAGAGTGCTTCATCTTTGACCCGATTTTAAAGGCCAACATCCCACTCCGACGTGTGCAACTTCTCATCGAGGAGCTGAAGGTTCTGGCAAAGCAAGTACCATCACCTTCACGTTCGTCGAACAACACGCAACAACCATCAGCTTCCGGAAATCCTTTATTCCTGCCTCTCCAACGGGGCGCATCTCCTCTTTCCGAAGCCGCATCATGCATCTCTCTGTCTAGCACCGTGTTCTTTGGCTCCTGGTCCTCTCTTGGTTGTCTACGAGATCAACTTCAACATAAAGCAAGCTACAAACTACCATCTACCGTATGCACCGCCACGAGAAACACGATTCCGACTTTCTCGTTTCAGAGCCTCGTCTCCTTCCAATCTTTGCCAGAAAGTCTAGCTGCTCCCATCTTCAACCTCTTCAGCCGCTCAATAAACACCTTCTTCCCAATCTTCCAACCCCAAACCCTCGACATTATCCTGATCGCTTATTACCACCCAAACGCTACTCCTTCGCGTCCTCACAATACCCCTCTCTTCAACCTGATAATTGCCCTTGGCGCCCAAATCAGCAGCAAAACAACACCCTCACTCTTCGCCCTCGCAGAGCATCACTTTCAAAACGCTATCAGCTTTCTCCCAATCACCTGCGCCCACGCCTCCCGCACCGAAAACGTCAGTCTACTTCAACGAACCCTCCTCATCTGCGTCTACACCCTCCTCGAACCCAGAGCAGGAGATGTCTGGCGACATCTGGGTTTCGCTATCCGCCTCTTTCTCGACTTGTCACATCGGCCATCGATGGAGGAAGACGAGGACCATGGTCTGTTTTGCATGCTTACTAGGACTTTGTACACTCTTGAGAGGTATGTTCACCCACCCGAGTACAAAGATACACGATAGAAGAGGCTAATGGTCCCATGAAGCCATGTTTCGATTGCGTTTGGCCGACCAAGTCTACTTGTCATCGGAGACGATCTCCGTCGCGTACGTCTCCAACATACACCTCATTCCATCTGTATCTGACACTACCTATGTCACAGGAGCTCGTAGAAAAGAGCGGCAACAGCCTCCAAGATGAGATCTCAACCTCTTCATACCAAGTATCCCTCCTCAAGATGCAGATCCACAGCACAATCCTTGTACGCGAGCGCAATACTTCAGTCATCCACGAGACTCAACCCCTTCGAGATATTTGCGAAACCTACCGCCAAAGTCTTGACTCATGGTTCGCGAGATGGAAAGAGATCACAACCTCAATTTCTTCTACATGTTCAATTCCATCATCAATACCGTGGAGTCACGCCCTCCAAGAAACCCTACTCTCATGGGGCTCTTTGCACTATTACCACGGCATGTCCCTCGTCACAACCCTCTGGCCAACACCAGGCGGAGATCCATCCACCATTTGCGGCAGCGTCTCCAAGGCAGGGCTACAACTCGTTCGTCACCAGCAGCTTTTTGCAAATCTCACCTGCGAGGGAGCACCATCGGGTGAAGGAGATGTTGTAGTGTTCCCTTGCGAGTGGACCATGGCTCATCTTGTGCTCCAAGTTGGTCTCCGTGCCATGGGAGAGAAGGACAAGCCGATTGTCGGCGAAAAGAACGAGGACCCGTCACTGGCACTTTGCTTCTCGTTATTGCTCCTTCTTGAGGCTGATGACTCGAAACTATTGAGAGGGCTGTCATCAGTTTGTGAGCGGTTATCCGAGAATGTTTCATTACGACAATGAATTTGAGATCTAGGGAGTAAACTCCTTGTCTAGACCGATACTGCGAAGACACTGCCGTGATCTAAGCTCCAAGACGAAGTGAAAGTCAAAATATGCACGCTTTTGATGATTATTCTGATACCCTCTAACAGTAAACCCCATTTTCCTAGATCCTGAAATCCTTGTAAGACCACTTCTCCGTAAGCTTCGCCCTCGCCTGCTTCTTGAACGGGATATGTCTCCTTGACTCCACCTTTCCGCGGACAAGCAGACTACGGTACCGGTCCTTGAGCAGGTTACCCTCGGGCCTCAACAACCGCAGCGAATCCTGCAGCTCGTCAGGCAGAACCAGCTCCAGATCCTTTTCGGGCAACTTCATCTTGCCGAGCTGTCTCCTCCGCAGCCGTCCCTCGTCCACGATATCCTCCTCGTCATCGTCGGCGTCGCTCCCCTCGCCCACCTCCTTGGCCAGCGCCAACGCGCTCTTGGAGGCGTCGCGGCCCGCAATCTCGGCCGCAATCTCCTTGATCCGCTCCGCCTGCGCCGCCTTCTTCTTCAGCGCGAGCTGGTGCTTGGCCTCGCGCTCCGCCTCCTTGCGGCGCTTGATCCGGTTCCTCTGCTGCGGCGTCTTGCGCTGGGGTCTCTTGGTCGTGGGCTTGTCGTCGCCCTCGACGCCGCTCTCGAACCCTTCCCACGCGGAATCCTCGTCCCACTCGGACAGCTGCGCGCGCGCTTCCGCGGCGTCGGCCTCAGCGGCGGACTTGGCGACGGCCTCACGCTTGATGCGGTCGGCTTCCTCGGCGGCGAGGCGGGCTTCTTCGGCGGCGACGGCGCGGGCGCCCTCTTCTTCGAGGCGGTCGGCGTAGTCGTCAAAGGTCGGGTTGTAGGAGTATCCGCCCGTGGGCTTAACGACGGCAGGGAGCTGGCGGCCGCTGGCTGTAAGGGAGATGGGGGCGTGTTTCAGGGTCTTGGGGGGCTTGGCTTTTTGTTCGGCGGGGAGGAAGTTGTCTTTGCTGGTCTTGTTTGCTGCCGCTACGGCCTTTGAGGAGGTAGAGGGCGCGGCACCCCAGAGGTCGTAGGTCGCTTCCTGGGGTACGAGGGCGGTAGATTCCTCCTGGTGTCCGTCGGCGACGCGACGAAGGCGGCTCAGTTCCTTGTGGGAGACCCAGTCGGTGCGCAGGCGCTTGGCGGGGAGGAGGCCGTCCGAGGTCTTTGAGAGGGCGGTTTCGGCGTCGCGCTTCTGCTTGCGGGAGGAAACGGCGGGAACGGAGGAGCGGGCGGCGAGGATCTCGTCGGACTTGAGTGTCTTCTTTGGCTTGGGGCGCTTTTCGACTTTGCCGACAGTGTCGAGGGTGAAGAGGTCTGCCGAATCCTTTTCTGCGACGACGCCACTGTAGAATATTTGGTTAGTTGTCTACTTTGTGTGCCAATTGGGGGATTTCCGAGAAAGGGAAAAGGTTTCCAAGGCAAAGAGGGTTACGTACCCGGTGATAATCTGTGTGTTCAACTCATCGAGACCTTCTTGCACCTCGGAGACGTCGACGTTCTTCCTCCACGCCTTCTTTCCCTTTCTTGAGGGCTGCTTGCGTTGCTGGGGGGCTTCGCCGTCGCCCGAGAGGGGCTTAAGAACGGGCATGTTGGATAGGTAGCCGAATCACACTTCGGGCTTGGAGGGGTTGTTTGGGTAGATAGGTGCAAAGAAGATGGACAGAATCACCGGGGGTGTTCCTGATGTCGAAAAGTCGATCTTTGCGCCTTGCGCATTTGCGGGTCGTCGAATCTGCACTCTGCACCAGCTGGGACGGCGGGGCCTGGACCGTCCAGAAATTTTCGAGCAAGGGTCTTTTTTTTTTGTCTTATCGGATATGGGGTTTCTTATCGATTATCAGCACGTGATGTCCCCCGTCTTTGCTGGCCTCCTCTGAGCCCACCTCAATGGATGACGGGGGCGTGGTAATGCGCCTAAAGGCGGACAGGTTGACCTCCTTTTACTTGTCCAGCTTGCTCAATTTCCACGACCCGCGATCTATAACCCTCACACCCCTCCTCCTCCCAGCCAGCCCAACTTCGCCCTCTCGTCGGATCTGGTCCTTTGATCTAGCAAAGCACTCGGCTTTTCAGCTTGGTTTTATTTGCCGACTCGACGACTCCCTTGCATCGAGCCAACGTGTTGGTTCTGTAGCCCGACTGGCGAACCCCCCGATACCACCCTTCGGAAGCTTCCCTTTGACCAAAAAACCGCAACCATGGCGTCCGGCGCAGGCGGGTCCTACAACAACCCCCTCAAGAAGTTCAAGTACGATTTGCGCCGATTGCGAAATGTTCCTGTTCAGACAATTGCACAATAAAACTAACACAATGAAACCCCCAGGCTTGTCTTTTTAGGCGAGCAGAGCGGTATGTATCCTGCATTCTGTCTTGTTCGATGTGGTGAGAGAGACCCTTGGCTGATAAGTTCTTTGTGTTATTTGCAGTGGGGAAAACTTCACTCATCACTCGATTCATGTACGATTCGTTCGACAACATGTACCAGGCGACCATCGGAATCGACTTTCTTTCCAAGGCAAGCCATTGATACATTTCCGGGCGAGGGACGAGGAACCACTGTCTAATACATTGCAGACCATGTACCTTGAGGACCGGACAGTGAGATTACAACTTTGGGATACCGCCGGACAGGAACGTTTCCGCAGTCTGATTCCCTCGTACATTCGCGATTCCAGCGTCGCAGTCGTTGTCTACGACATTTCAAGTACGTGGAACTGCATGGGGGAGGCACAGAAGAGGGAACTCGTGACTGACTAGATGGCAATTCGAAGATGCGAAATCCTTCCAAAACACCAAGAAGTGGATCGACGATGTGCGCGCCGAGAGAGGAAACGACGTCATCATTGTCCTCGTGGGCAACAAGACGGATTTGAACGACAAGCGCGAAGTGACGACGCAGCAGGGCGAGGAGGAGGCCAAGAAGAACAACCTCATGTTCGTTGAGACTAGCGCGAAGCTGGGACACAATGTCAAGACGCTGTTCAAGAGAATAGCCCAGGCTCTTCCAGGCATGGAGGGAACGGATGCTGCCGCGCAAGCTTCAAGCCAGAGTGCGTATTCCCTTCTCTTTGAGATTTGGGTTATAAAAAGCAGGGTGGTTTATGCTAACTTTAACGCAGTGATCGATGTCAAGACGACCCCCGCCCAATCATCGCAAGAGGGATGCGCGTGCTAGACGAGTTTCTTAAGGAGACAAAGCAAAACAAAAAGACAACGACTCTGGAGTAGAAAGTTCCCGAGGCGAGCCGTGACGGACGACGCGGGGCTGAGTTGGAGTTGCCGTTACGTTACGTTGCGACATGACTGGCGGGGCAGGACATCTTAAGCATAGCGTGCAAATGGGGATTTTCAGCATCAGTTACAGTTTGTATAATAACGGGCTATACTCCACGGTCGTTAGTACATACCTACATTTAATGGCTCTTTTTTCTCTTCTTTCCCCAATATTGTCTGTCTACATGGAATGCAAGTGTACTTATTCATATGTGAGCGTCACGTTGGCAGTATTAAGTGTCAAAAGTCAGCTGGCGAATGAGTTGTCCAAGATGCTCACCGCCCGAAATGGCACGGGACTCTCACGATGGCTGGCGTCCGTGATGCTACGGTGGGCTGTCACCGAGTGCCGGGGTCCGTTGAACATGTGGTGCCAGCGTAGGAATGGCCCGCAAATCCGTGGCATCGAATTCCCAGGTCCATCCACTTTTCGGATTCGGATACCTACCTTACCGCGTATATGTAGATAGCTAGCTGTGCATTCACAGCCGGTGTTGCTGTAGATTGACCCAGAGAGCGAGGTGCAGCATCAGGTGCAGACGCGGGTGACGGAGAGCAGCGGCGCGGACTCAATGAAAACCCCGGGGCGTGACGCTATGACGGATCGGGTGGGGCCCATCATGTCATCGAGAATTTTAGAAAGGTGCGAACGCAGGGTCTTTCCGCTCTTTATTTTGTTTGGTGGCTGGCCCATGTCAATTGTCATCCGGCGCTGCCGCTTTGGTTAAAAGTGACGGGGCCTCTTGTTAGGCCCATCTTTTGCGACGCTTCCCCAAAAGCTTACCACCCTCAGGTTCTTCTGACGTCTTCACGGATTACCTGAGCTCTCAGGACCCCTTTCTCTTCTGGCGCGATACCTACGGATACCCTCCTGCTGTATCCGTACATATAAACACCAACGAGACATCACCAAGATACAGTGGACGAACAGATAGACCGACGGACAGGATGGCGTTCTCAAGATTCAGCATGCGGTTACCGCTCCCAAAGGTTAGCATGTAACACAACCTCATCTTCCCCAACCAACTACACCCAATAGTTACACAACATCATGTTCATCATCTTTAACCGATGAATTACTGGGCGGTTGGCTAACATGGTGATCACGTTTAATGTGTGCGACAGACCTTTCTAGGATGCATCGGCCTTCAAACAGGCACCGAGGTCATCTCCCTCATCCTCCTCTTCAACAGGCTCACCGGCCTCTACGGTCTACTCGCCATCCTCACGGGCTACGAGCTCTCCGTGACGCAGCTGTCAATGTACCTCTACTCGCTGGGCGTCGTCGTGCTGCTGGCCATGTTCATGCCCCACGTACGCAAGCAGAGCCCCTTTGAGACGCTCAGCCTCGCCTGGCTCTACATCGTCGACACCGTCCTCAACGTCGCCTACACGACCTTCTTCGCCGTGAACTGGTACCTCAACAGCAGCGCCCTGGACAAGCACCCGGCAGGCAGCACCACCCCGGCCGCAGCCGGTCCCGCAGCAGCGGCGGAGATTGCGGAGACGGCGCTGGCCAACGGGGCGCCCGTGGTTCCCGACGTGCCCGGCACGACGAAGCACATCGGGCCCCAGGAGTCGTGGATGAGCTTGGGGCTGATTTGCTCCGTCACGCTGGTACGCGTCTACTTTGCGCTCGTCGTCATGTCGTTTGCGCAGCAGGTGCTGCAGCGGTACAGCGCGGCGGACATGGGCTGGGAGGAGGAAGGCCGCAGCAGCGGCGCCGGCAAGAAGGGCGGCGTCGACGGACCTTTCTCGCAGGGCGAGCCGGGCGGCGAGGGGTCCCGCGGCCGTATCGGGCGCGTGATGCTCGCCCTCGGTCGCGGGTACTGGCTTCGCGAGAGGCCTCAGGAGGAGTGGGCGAGCGCTGTGAGCGCCAAGTTCCGGCACACCGGAGTCTAAGTCTTTTAAGTATCGCGGAAGGGCGGATTCAGAGAGCTACCGACGGTACCGGTAGGTATTGACTATTGAAGCGGCAAGAGATGGATGTCGGTGCGGCATGTCGGGCGGCAGCGGCAGGTTGACCGCTTGGAGTGGATACCGCCGGGACGGCAAGTCGATGATGCCATCGGGCGGTGGTATCATTGGGCGATGGCATCATTTGAGATTTTCTGCGCGCCAGAAAAGAGGTGGATCGGGAGACTCATGAGCGAAATGCATGTCGGGGGCGCGATGGGGAATATTGTACAACAACATTTGATGACCCTCAATCACGGAAGGTGAATCGGCGTTTGGGTCATTGGGAGAGATGTTTCGTCACGAGAGCATTCATTCGGTTGGTGCCCGGTTCACGATGGGGGATTTAAAGTGGGACCGAGAACGAACGTTCTATGGTTCCAAACCCCGAATTTGGGGAGAGCATACGATACAAGCCATACATATAATAAGCATACTTAGTAGCAGAGTAATACAAGATCTTGAATGCAAAGGGAGCATTGGGTTGATTGGTGGGTATCGGGCATTGAGCGAACTGTGTGAGAGTGACAGGCGGTAACTGCAAATACAGAGTCTACCATTTGTAATCCGAAAGAATCTCCGGGGGAGGGGGATGGAGATGGTGGGGCAGTTGAACGGGATATGGAGCAGCATGTCAGTCTACGGAATAGTTTCCACTAGTTGACTCGCCTCCAGATGGATGGGATGAGGCACGGCTACGAGTCCGAGCATTTGCCTGCCTCTACCTCTGGTTGAGTCTTATTGAGCCTTGGGAGAGAAAGAGAGTGAGAGTGAGAGGAAAGGCTTACCGGCCGACAACGGCCTTTTTCGGCATTCGGGCATGGGGTCCAGATTCGCTGCCCCTGTTCATGCTGTATTAGCCAAGAAGTGCCATCCACTGATTCCAGCCATTTGAGATGGAATTTGTTAGAGTGTTGTTGAGTGGCTGATTGGGTAAGGCAAATGAGCTAAGAGTCTAGGACAGAGTCTACCTTAGTATCTTTCTTTCCAGGTTTACATAAGGCAATTGTTTCATAGTCGTAGCCGTCAACGACTCTCGTGATGAATAATACAGCATCCAGGACAGGAGCACAGAAGGCAACGGCACCCGCTGAAGTCCCGGCTCTTTCCCTCCAGCTCCAAGTACTTGACTACTTTACTGGAAGAATCCCGATGTACCTTTTCTGAGCAATGTACACACACCAAGTGCAGCGGCATTGCCCCAAGGCAAGCCAACCCGCGGCGCAATGGGAGCAGTGCGGCATGGCAACTGGCGAATGGACTGGGGAGACGCTGCGCTAGCCGATCACGCAATCGACCCTGATGTCGACAAAATTCATTGTTTTCTGCGGGGCGAAATTTCTCAGTGGGCACAGGCTCACAACGCCCCCCCAAGCACGCCAGCAACAGCAGGCGCAACCCGCCATCCAGCTGCTCTTGCCTGACTGAAAGACGACGAAACCAAGCAAGGGAAGGATCAGGAATTGGGTACTTGCCAGGTCACTTTCTGTTGATTCCAAAAGCAGAAAGAACCATCGGAGCTGTTTCGCAACTTCCTGGGGCACCTTGGACTTTTTTTTTTATCAGCTTGTTATCCATCGATCTTCCCTTTTAGACCTCTTATTACCTTGACTTACACCACCATCTTCCTCCTCTCTCACACTCTCTCACTCACTCTCACCCTCTTCCTCCTTCCGCCTCCCATCTGCCATTGCATCCTACGGCGCCCTTCTCCGACAATCCTTTCTACGGGTTGATCTGTGTTAGTCATTACTGCTGTAGTCGACTCATTGTTGGTATTCTGTCCATTCTTGGTTCCTGATCCAGAGGAAGCCAAACAGACAGCTCGAGAGGAATCCGGAACTGTACACTGCAAACGGCAGCGAAAAGAGTTTCGAGACCGGCCACTATACGATACCCCCGTCTTCGAAATCCGCCCTCGAAACCCCCTCCAAACACGCACACACACACACATATCGACAATGGCGCCGACAAGAGGTCAAATCCAGACGCCTGGAGAAGCTGGTAAGCAGTTGTTGCTCTCTTCAATTCTTTGGGTTCCACGGCTTTCGCCTGCTGCTACTGCTGCTGCTGTTGCTGCTGTCACCCCTGGTCTTGCACTCTGCAGCGTCCGTCATCCTTCAGCGCGTGTGCCCGCTGTAACTACAGCGAAGCTCCGACATTGTTGGAATTGGGCCAATCAGAGCTCTGCTATTTGTCGCATCCCAGCGGTGCAGAGTCCCCCGGCAACCCACTTGTGATGGGCAACGAGCAGCACCCAGAGAGAAAGAGGCAGAGGGATGATGGACGACGCCGACCAGAGACGCGGAACAGTCGCAGTCGCAGTTTGCAACGAGAACGATGACAATACTGGCTTGTGCTAACATGCCATCTCTACAGTTGCGAGAATCGCATACCTCTCCAGCGACGTCGTCGTCTCCGTCCAGCCTTCGCTGGCCAAGGACTCGGAGTTCTCATCCCACCTTAAGCGCTACGTCGCTCGCAACGACAAGAGCCTCGTCGCGAAGTCTTCAGTCACAGAGGTGAGCAACTACTCGATTCGTCTTCTCCGCGATCTTTTGGCTTGGAAACTGACTGTGACTGTCCCAGGTCCAACATGTAAGGCACAATGCCGACCCCCTCCTCTCCGTCTTTGCGCCTACTCGCGCCGGCAAGCTCGTCGCCGTAACGACCTCTTCTACCGTTCTCCTTCCCGCCATCTCCCACCTCTACAAGTTGGCAAACTACCCTGTCGTCCTTCACGTCGCCCTTCAGCCCGCTGGCTTCCCCGACTTCTCCGCCATCACAGCTATCCGCAACTCGGGATGGACTTTCCTGCAGTCAGAGTCTCTCCAGGAGGCTCAGGACATGGCACTGACGGCACATGCCCTCGCCCTCCGCTCCGGCAAGGGTGTTGTGCACTTCTTCGCTTCGTCGAGCAGCGACGACGATGCTGCTATTGAGGCAGAGGACCCTGAGGTTGTGCGCCAGATTCTCGACGTTGACGCTGCGAGGCGCTTCCAGCAGCCGTCCAACGGCTCTGCCGCGTCGGCTGTCGGTATCTATGCCGATGACGGCCGACTGCCGGTGGCCTCTGACCGATCCGACGTGCCGCCGACCGGCTCCTCCGCCATTAGTGGTCTGAGCTCTTCCGAACTCGCATCGTCCGTGCACTCCAAGCTCGAGTCATCCAGGGCCTCGGTCCAGTCCAGCGCCGAGCACAGCGTCACCGACAGCCCACCCTCTGTCGTCTCCTCCAACGCCACCACGATCGAGTCGTCCCTCCCCGTCGTCTCGTCTGAGGACATCCTCAAGTATGCCAACGGCATCTGGGCTCAGATTAAGAGGATCACCGGCCGTGAATACCAGGCCTTCTTCTATGCCGGACCCACGAATGCAGAGAATTGCCTCTTCGTCTTTGGCTCTGGAGCCTACTACTTTGGTGATGTGATTGACCAGGCCCGCCGTGGAGGTGACTTCTCCAAGGTCGGCATCCTCACCCCGAGGCTGTACCGCCCCTGGCTCAGCTCCTCTCTCATCGAGGCTTTGCCCAAGTCTGTGAAGCGCATTGCCGTCCTTGAGCAGGTCCACCGCAAGACCACAAAGTGGGGCCCCGTCCTCATCGATGTTCTCACCAGTGTGAAGAGCGGCCCTGGTGGTGTGCAGACCGTTGTCGGCTACCAGCTTGGCTACATTGACCCCAAGACTGTCATCCAGGCTCTTCGTGGCGTCCTGCAGAACCTGACTTCCGAGTCCCCTGTTCAGAATCTTGAGATCGGCCGCAAGGAGGTTCCCCAAGAGGTTCTCGAATACGGTCTTGAGAAGCCCCAGGTCGAGAACTCGTACACCAAGATTCTCGACCAGCTCTTTGGCCAGAGAGCCTACATTGCCAATGCCCTCAAGGCTAGCAATGCCGGCATCAACTCCTCTATCCAGGCTAGCCCTGAGTTCGGCTTCGGTTCCCTCTTGGCTCGCAAGGAGCGTCGCGTGCGCTTCGTCAACGAGGTCAAGGAGGCTGCCAACAGCAACCAGTTCGTGACGGATTCTCCTAAGAGCTGGCTCGCCCGCTGGGCAGCCAACGAGGCCGACTCCAAGAAGGCCAACGAGATCGCCGACGACTTGATCCCCCGCCTTGAGACTGATGGCTCTTCCATTGCCCGCAACCTATTGTCCAGCAAGCGACTGTTCCGCAAGGAGTCCCTGTGGCTTGTTGGATCCGATGCCTGGGCCTACGATCTCGGTAACTCTGGTGTGCACCACGTCCTGGCCTCTGGCGAGAACGTCAACATGCTCATCATCGACTCGACCCCCTACTCGGAGCGTGCCGCTGCCGATGCCAACCGTCGCAAGAAGGATATTGGCCTGTACGCCATGAACTTTGGCAACGCTTACGTTGCCTCTACTGCCGTCTACGGCTCCTACACCCAGGTGCTTCAGGCCATGCTCGAGGCCGACCAGCACAACGGTCCCTCCGTCGTCTTGGCCTACCTGCCCTACTTTGGCGAGACCGATTCTCCACTCACCGTTCTCCAGGAGACCAAGAAGGCGATTGACGTCGGCTACTGGCCTCTGTACCGCTGGAACCCCGCCAACGAGGCCAAGGGCGAGCCCAACTTCACCCTCGACTCTGAGCGTATCAAGAGCGAGCTCAAGGCCTTTTTGGACCGCGACAACCAGCTCACCCAGATCATGCAGCGCGACCCCGCCTTCGCTGCCAACCTGTCGCAGGACTTTGGCTCTGAGGTCCGGGCTCAGCAGAAGCGCAAGGCCAAGGATGCCTACGACCAGCTTCTTGAGGGTCTCTTTGGCGCTCCCTTGACCGTGTTGTACGCCTCTGACAACGGTAACGCTACCAACGTTGCCAAGCGTCTCGGTAACCGCGGCAAGGCTCGTGGTCTTAAGACCAAGGTCTTCGTCATGGAGGACTACCCCCTCGAGGACTTGCCTTCTGAGGAGAACATCATCTT